GTGTTTTTCGATATTAGCGGAATATTGATAAAGTTTTGCCTACATTTCAAATGGAAACAGCTAAACAGACACTGGACAAACAACCATCCACAAGGACAATTCAGACAGACAAGTTAACCAAACAATCATGTTTTTGGACTACGGGAGGAAGCTGGAGTACCTCCCAACTCAGTCCCCTGGGCAGGATTCAAATCCAAGACTTTCTTGCTGCAAAGCAGCAACTACTCCACTACCTGTAGCCTCAGTAAAAAAAATGCTGATAAATAGATTATTTAATATGCAGAAAGCGAACATCTTAACCACGACTGCACTGGTTTTCACCTCCCCTCTATAAAACACAAAACTAAGATATCACTGACATTTATGCTCACGTGTAATCCTCCACACTGAGCCCTTTAGGTTATCTGAGGTCACCCTGCTTTTCTGTTTTTGCACTATAATAGTTTTGTTCAACCATCTAAACGACAGCTAAATGACAGCAGATACTTTGCGTCCTTACATCTTAAAAGAAAAAAAAGGCTTCCATTAAGATCCCATGGTTTTGCAGGAACAGGTTTTATAACACAGAGACTACATTTGAAGCAATACATCACCTCCTAGCTAAAGGGCCAAACACAGACACACACAAACAAATGCGCACACACACCTTGTCACAAGCCTTTTTAGAGCTCTAATCTGAAATGAGAACATGCCCTGGGTCACACTGGGGGAATGGAAGTCAAAATACAGAATAAAAAAAAAAAGAGGAAAGATGGAGAGGGGAATGAAATGAAAGAGAAAAGCCAAAGGGAAGAACACGGAGAGATAAAAGGCTGAACCAGCAGAGAGGGGGAGACGGGGCAGAAGGGGAGTGGCAGCCAGAGCAAAGCCGACAGGGACCGTGGATCACCCTGGAGGGTCAGAGGTGTGAAAGAGTTGTGGTTGGGTGTAATGCCTCACCCTAACCGAAGCAACCCCCTCCACCCACCTTCCCTTTCCCTCCCGTCCCTCCCAGCAGCTATTTAACATAGAAATTGATTTAAACAGAGGGTGAGATATCCGCTGTGGGACCAGAGGACAGGTGCCTCCAGTCAGCAGAGGAGAAGCTAATGAGAGGTGAACGAACTGAGCGGCGCTAACAAGAACAGCAGAGGGAACGACGAGATGGGACTGTGGGGGAGGAGGGGAAGAAGTAGGACGCCGGAATTTTTAAAGTTTGTAGTTTTTGGAGAGTATTTATCAAAGAGTCGTTGAGTGGTCGGATGATGACGACGGTGGGAATGGATGTTGGGTAGCAGTCAGCCTCTGACTAAAAACTGTTGCTGTATGACAATCATGACATGCTAACAGCTCAATATCGTGGCAGCAGAGAGAATATTTCACCATTGAAGGCAGTGTAACTTGTTGGCAAGCGCTGCTAATCCGTCTCATTTGTTTTTGCTAAGCCACTTTCTGGCTGGAGGGTAAAGAAGTTGGAGTAGGGGATGCAATCATTGCCCATTAGGTTTGATGGAAAAGATATTGAGAACATTTCTCCTCGCTCTGCTCTTTGGTGTAGCCCTTCAACTGGGTTAGACCAGCATATGTCATGCAATATGTGATAAAACATATATAGCATGACATATGTTATATCATGCTATAACATATAGCATGATATGTTATTGCACTGCCAAACCGCTCCTGTTTGAGGAGTGTGTGAACAACGACGTTAATTTTCTGTGCCATTTTAGAATTGTAGTTGCCCAGATAGGGTTGAAGTATTTGAGCAACGGCAGTGGAGGAAGTGAACAAAGTCATTCAGTGGGTGTTGCCCGCTCTTTCAAATATTGAGCAATTAAGGTCGGACTAAGAGGAAGTTTTAAGACATTTTATTGCTGTTGTCTTAAAGATGTAATTCAGCTCGGGACTTTTTTCTTTGTGTTGGGGGACCGTCGCCCACCGCGACCGTTTAAAGTGCACACAATTTCTGGTAAGCTTCATCAAGCTAGCATATTACATACAACACAGCCAAATGTTAGTGATTGGGTAAAATGAGATTCAATTGTTTACAACATCAACGGAGTCCATGCGCCTAGGAAGCAATCGTTTCCCAACAGCCTCTGTGCGAAGCAAAGATTAGAACAAAGGATTTGGTTTCTACCAGGCTTTGATAAATTAAGAACAATAAACAATAAATCTGTGACCAAAATCTCTCGATTCAGATTAAAACATCAAGAACCCCAAAATCACTAACTAGGTCTACTTTCTCTCCTTATTTAGTAGTAGGAGGGTCCATAAAAAAAACACGGTAAAATCTCAGATGAGTATCAATGTTAGAATCACTCTGAACTCTGTTCCTGAACCATCGGTTCTTTGCCACCATGTATCTGCACACTCGGCGCCGCTGCGGCTGACATTAGAGTCAGCACCGTCAATACTTTTGACAGGTGAGACGCTGCAGAGGCACGAGGAGGACGAGCGGGGCCGGCCGGAGCGCCTCTCCTTGTTTCAACCGTCGCTCTGAAGCCGAGCTGTCTGTTCATTAAGGAGAAGCTGGACTTCAGAAAAGGCGTGCGTCCTCATTGATCCCTTGCCTGTCACTCGAAGGACGGGAGAGTTCGACACGCTGAGTTGACTCCCGTACGTGCCCGTTTGTGAATATCAACGGGATTAGTGAAAGGTCTGGCTGTCAGGAGAAGTCAGACTGGAAACTGCGCCAAAGAACGGGCCGGGTTGCTCTTTAGGAGTAATCTCACATTTTGATAAATGTTACTTAGGAAACACGACAGGTGTGGCATTTTCTGGTTGGGTTTTCTAAGATCAAAAATCCTCCTCCACCCTCTCTGAATATGATGCGTTTATGCATTTAGACTGTTGAGTTGCATCTTTAAGCAACCCAAGATGGTCACACACATTACATACACGCTCCAAAGTGTCCAGTCTTGCACTGCAGCATCTTGTACATACTCCATGGCAACCATTTCAAAATGAAGATTCATCCACTTTATATAGTTGGCCTAGTTTGTGTACCGCAGCCCCCGTTGAGCACTGCCATCCAGGATGACGACTGGGCCCTTTGCAGACTACACTGAGAAGGTGTGTGTGTGTGTGTGTGTACGTCTGGTGGAGTGAGAAGGAGCGGGGGGAGGGGAGTGGCGCAAAATCCCAATGCAAATGCCAACATTTAATCTTAAAAGTTGTGTTCTACTTTGCGAAGCTTTCAAGAGACCCACATAAGAATTCAAAAAGGCCTGATTTAAGCTCCAGCCGTAGTGCTGGAGCTGCAGACTTCAACAGTAGATGAGGAAACAACTGAACATGCTACATTGCTCTAGTGAAACAGAATAATGGTGGTCCTTCTTTTTCCCCAAAAACCCCCATTTCTATGCATAGAGATGCAGAGTAATAGTTCTACGGTTCAATTTCTCCTGAAAGTGACTCGGATAATAACAGTTGTCCAAAATATAATTGTATCCCTTTAGTACAGAACAAACATAGTTGTTCCATTATGGATGTCATTTATAAATGATATTTGTGGTAAATCTTTTTACGCCTAATTGATTTGGATCAAAGACATTTTTATGTTAGCCACGCCTCCAGTTTCATAGCTATATAAATAAACGCATAAATAAATGAGCCAGAAAAGGGTGCCTTCTCCCAGTCGGGTGGGATGTCCTGCCACAAGTGGAGGAATTTAAGTATCTGGGGATCTTGTCCACCAGTGACAGAAAAATGAATGGAGCAGGACATCGACAGGCGAATTGGCTGCTGTCTGCTGTGAAGCGGGTGCTGTACCGGTCTGTCGTGATGAAGAGAGAGCTGAGTCACAAAGCGAAGCTCTCAATTTACCGGTCGATCTACCTAACCTCATGAGCTTTGGGTCATGTCCGAAAGAAAGAAGTCATGGATATAAGCAACGGAAATTAGTTTTCCCCGTAGGGTGTCTGGGCTCTCCCTTAGAGAGAGAAACTCAGTCATCCAGGAGGGACTAAGAATAGAGCCACTGCTCCTTCACATCGAGAGGAACCAGTTGAGGTGGCTTGGGCATCTGGTCAGGAGGCCCCGGGGAAGACCCAGGACACGCTGGAGGGACTATGTTTCTCGGCTGGCCTGGGAATGCCATGGGATTCCCCCAGAAGAGCTGGCCCAAATGGCTGGGGAGAGGGAAGTCTGGGCCTCCCTCATGACTGGACCCGGATAAACGACGGATGGATGGATGGACATATATGTATATGTGTGATACACATACAGACAGTGATGCTAGCTAGCTAGCATGTTTCTTGCTAGATTCAAGAAACATGCTTTCCCCTCCCTCCTCCATACATAGCAGAAAGTATAATACAAAACATTATTTTGAATCAAAATGACAAAAGTAGCATAAAACACATCGATTCTAACACGGGTCAAAAAAGACTCACTCATGGAAGACTGTATAGTCAGTCACTCATTTATCAACTTTTTAAAACTGTAAACGGTAGTAACTTGCCAGCTTATTTTCCAAAAGATATATAGCTTAAAAAGTTTTTTGATACAAAATCTGCAACAATATTGCTTATATTTCAGCTTGTCACAGTAAATAGGCGCCGTCTATTTCCTGGCCTTTTTCTGCGCGCTAGTTTCTTGCTCGCAGCGGTGTAGCAGGTCCAGACCAATAAGTTTTGTTTGTTTTTAATACGAGAATAAAGTCATAATTTTCTAACAATTATACAGCGAACTTCGTTACAATGGGAAATACTGAGCATCTTATGAAGATGTGGTAGTTATCTTCCTCACAAATAAGGAAAAGCTTAAAAACACATTAGCATCAATTATTGTCAGACTTTGTCTAGTTCAAAGACATGTCAGCATGGTCATGTCAGCTCTTAATAACTGTATTGAAGCCTTTTTTCCCCATTAAAACAACTTTTTTTCCTCATAATTTTTCTCTTTGTTCCATTTTTAGTCTGTCAATTGTACAACTACTCTCATGATATGACTTTATACTTGAATTTAAGAAAAATAAATAAAAATTCTCGTATCTGTCTGATACTTTCTTTACTAACCTCAGCTGCCATTTTTCTTTTCACCGTCACAAACTTTTCCAGCTCTCTTCACTGAAGGTGCCTGTGCTTCAAATCATCCGCGATTGTGTCTTCCTTCGTCAGCTGTTTACGCCATTGTGTTGGTTCAGGCTACTCCTTCTGCTGGCCTCAACAGGCACCCTGCTCATTCATTCGAACACTGCTGCCACCTAGTGACCGGAGTTTTGTTTTCAGTCAAGAATGAATAAAGAAAATAAGTCCTCATTCTCGTGCCCCCTTACATCTCACCTGTTCACTGTCATAACCCAAGCGCACTTGAGCTTATGCCTAAACATTCTAATTTTTAAGGATGTTTTGTTTTTTTTTTTCAAAACGCTTGGTGACCTAGTCCTGAATGAGTCAACAATGCCTTGGAGTAATTTTGATAGGCCAAGACTAAGGTTCACCAGTTTCATGTTTTCTCCATTTGTAGGCTGATATATGATTGCCTGATAGCCAATGACTTTGCTTCTCATCTGTTCTTGAATTTGGATGCCTTGTGACGATGTGCTAGAGGAAATGCAATCACAGGTTGATTAGCAACCTGGAGACCCAGAGAGGGTTCCATTCTTCACAAACCCTCAAAAAGGGAGCACTTCCTTTGAACTGATAAGAGAAAACTTTTTTCCCAGTCCATAAAATTTCAGATTGTTTTTATTTACTATGTTATTGGGGAACGCTACTATTTGTATGTATATTAATAAAGATGAACCAAGTTCTTCACAGTGAAAAGTGAGATCACCTGTGTTACCAATGAGCAGCTATATAGCTGTAAATGTTGGGACTACAGGAAAACTGACAACGGATGAAGCTACTGCTGTTGAACTTGATTCAGTTTAGTGCATATTTTCCTTGCAGTTTTATGTTTGTTTTTGAGGTTTGTCCCAAATGTTTTATCAATATACTGTAGTACTGATCTCACAATTTCCTTACAACAGCTCAAAAAGCTGGAATAGGTTGCAAGAGTCAGCTAGCATCAAACGTTAACAGATGTAAAATATTACACTGCAAACAATGAGAATCAAACCCATTTTTATTTTAGGCAAAGAGAGTTTTAAATGCAAAATGAAAATCAGTCATTTACGTTACTGTGATGGGAAAGGCCATCTTAGTCAGATTTAGGTCTGGACTTTAACTAGGCCATTCCAGTTAGCATGTATTGTGTGTTGCATAACTTACTGCAATCTTTTTTTTTTACCACAAAAAGGTCTTTGAGGTAAAAGACCTGAGGATGGGATAATTCGAGGATATTAATTTTAGAATATTGGGCATAATTTGGATTAGTAACTGGACTTTGAGCTAGCCATTCTACCACATTAATAATAATCTTTATTGTCCACAGATATGGAAATTTACCTTTGGCTTCGCATAGTAGTTAAAAATTCTCACAATACACTAAAAAAAAAAAGAAATAAGAGTCAGTCTTTCAAACCTACAGGTAAAACTTCACATCTGAGCAATGGTCAACAGTTATTACACTTGGGATAATTAATTTCTTATACATGTTCTCAGCTGTTCTGGCAGCCTGGTATCGCTTTGTATAATTCTCCCAGCATCCTTTGCTTTGTGCTGACATTTTAGACTTCATCACCGACTTTTGTGCTGTGCTCCTTGGTCTTCATGAGTCATTAATTCTTTTGTTCTTGAACAAACCTCTAAAATCAAACTGAAAAATACTTTGAACAATACTTCCGTAGTGGTCTGTATCACAACTAATCCGAAGAAGTCTCTGACTGAAGAAAACAGCTGAATTAATGATTCGACTCCTGAAAGTTACTTCAGAGCACCTTTATTTAGGTACATCAGAGTAAAGGGGGATCACCAAACACAAAGCACTTTTGAGAGTTTTATTCAGAAAATTTTACAATTTTCATTCCTCTTCATAGTTATACGCTTTGTGTTTATTACATAAAACACCGACATTTGCAGCTGGAATGTAAGAAAAAAAAAAAAAAAGAACGCAATCACAAATTGCAGGTTTGGCTCTTGGCAGCACATTATGACATGAAAATAAAATAACCTTATTTTTGTTTATTAGGATTCACAATTAATAAAGCCTCTGACCTCCACCTTGTATCTTTCAGACTAGCATTTATTTCCCCCATACCTGGTGTAAACGGTGCGCGCGCGCGCACACACACTCACAGTATTTATTAATAGAATCCAGCCATATAAATCTTCAGAGGTTTTCCTGCAGTTTCCCTGGACCATCAAGGACACCAGGCATGAAGCGGGCATACATTAAGTCCCCCTCCCACTCCCAGATTACTGCCCCGTCCTGCTGCGTCTGGAAGAGAGCTTCACTGTCACCTTTTTTCCTTCTTTTTTTTTTTAACAGGCATCAGCATGTGATGTTCTTCTGATGGTGTGAATCCGTCAAGGCCAGGGGGAAGCGATCCAGCTGTCCGCTCTGCATTTTAACACATCCCACCCTCGGCGAGGCGCCGCCGACCCGTCGGACGTGGGCAGAGAGGAAAAGCGACGGATCCGCGGCCCGGCTCATATTCAAAAGTCTACCTTTCATCGATCGGCACCCCGGTAACGTTTACTTTCCTCTCCGCCCTTATGCTTCCTGACAGTTTGTCGATTCCCAAACGAGACTGCTTCCACACCATCACTTATCTGGCATTAGATTATAGGAGACGTGGGGATCATTACTCGAGACGTAATAGCGCATAAAGACTGAAAAATGGTGTGTTTTGGATATGGCTCCGTTGATGTTTCATCTCCAGTCATGTTTTTTTTTCTCCTTTCTCTCCCAGTCCTGATGTCCAACGTTCAGCAGAGGCTTTTTCCAATAAGCCGAAAGGAGCTAATGCTGCCTCTGACCAACGGATCAACACCGGGAAATTTGTTTTTAATACGGGAAAGTAGAGTTTTGACCTCCGAGTGTAACTCGGCACCACGGGCTGCTGTAATGTCATCAGTGATGATGGCTGAAAACAGCAGATCGAATCAACAGAAACATGATGGACGGATGGATGGATGAGAGGAGGATGCTGGTGATGACCGTCTTTGTTTCTCGCCCCCCATCCTCCTTTTCCCTCTGGCTCGGCTGCTCAGTCGTCTCGCTGAATTCTAACGATCTAGATGTGAAAGCGATGAGAACAGGACGGCGTCTGGATGCAAAACGCGCTTCTGCGTTGGCGTCGGACATCTCCAGATTCACACGCTCCCCATCTCAAACTGCTGAGTGTAATTTCATCATCAACAATGAGGCATGAAATTTAAAAGATGATTCCCTAATAAAAAAAATGTATTCGAAGTGAGTATGACTATGTGCCTCAGTCAAAGCCAAAAGGAAGTGTTTCAGGTCGGATACAGGGGGGTTAATGAAAATTAAAAACAATTTCACAGCGTTCTATATAAAGGAGTGCTCATTTTCTGCTACATTAGGCACCAGAGGAGAGGAAATGTGAACGGAAGCATTCGAAAGTCTTCGAAGATAAGAAAATAATTACACTAATTCACCAGTACGACTCAAAAGTTCACAGAAGGTTCTTGGTGTTTCTGAGGGACAGCTTCTGCCTTTGGCCCCGACTCGGTGGCCATCTTTGCGCTCTTTCCTCCCCGTTGGGATGCCCCTGAGTTTCATCTGACCACCTTCTTCACGGCGACCTGCTCCACTTTCTCTGCTGAAAAGGAAAAAAAAATGAAATAAGAACAGGCGATTTAGAGATGGGAGGTACGAGATGCCAAGAAGAAGAAGAAGAAGAAGGAAAAAAAACGTTTTTATAAGCTGCATTAATTAGAGGCGTTTTTCCTGCCAACGTGCAGAGCTTTTCTACAGTAGCTAAGCAACATTTTTCTTAAGCAAGTTGTGATTATAAGCAGGTCTTGGGAACTTTGAATAAACTCCATTACTCTTTCAATTAAGAGTAAAAGTGTTCGTGATTCTTGGAATGGCGGAGAGACGGTGTGCAAAACGCCAGACGTCTAGTAAATCAAGGCTATTGTACATACAGCATGCATGACGGCTAAACCACCTGATATGATTTATTAACAACAAATAGTTTTCTTATAACATTAACCTTGAGGTCTCATTGTTTTTCAAAACAGTTGCTTTTTTGTCAAAACCAATATTTGGAGCTACATCTCTCAGACAGGAAGACAGGACTCCATTTTTCTGCTATCTTGCAACGTCTACTTCAGTTATTAGTCATAAGTAGTGTCTACTCTGGGAAAAATTGCATTTTGCGTAACCTGTTGGCTCAAAATCCTTATGACAATTGGATGAAAACATAGTTACTGTAAAGGAAAAAAACTCCCCTTTAACAGGAAGAAATCTCCAGCAGAACCAATACCGGGCTCAGTATGAGCGTTGTCCTGCTAAGACTGAATGTGGGTTTGCAAATACAAAGCGTACACTCACACTAAGAATAGCCAGATGAACTGATCCAGCGGTACTTTCTATGTGCGAGGAAGTTAATGGCAGCCTGGTTAATATCAGTAACGGCAACTTGTTTATCCTCAGTCTGAGCCAAGTCATTGTCAGACTGTAGGTCAACATTTTAACTTCTTTTCAAAGTGTAGCTGTTGCTACACTTAGAATGCTAAGTGTAGCTTCAGGGGTCCCCATGAAGCTAATGCTTCAGGGAACCATTCAACATCGTAGAAAAACTACAAACATTCAGTGCTTTGACATACTGGGTCCTCAGATAAAGGTGCCAACAGCCTGTTGCTATGATGCAGTGACGAGTATGACATTGAACGACTATAAGAAGAAAAGTGTGACTTTAGGCTTCTTCCATTCACTTCCACTAGGATTTAATGCAAAATACAATATTCTGCTGAGATAGTTGTTGAAAGAAATGGAATTCATAAAGCCTGAATGCAGAATAGATCAAAAATTTCAAGTTTCCTCACCACACACAATTTCATGTTTTGACAGAGCCATCGGCTATAGTGGAATATAACTGGTAGTGTGCTGGGCCGGTGAAGGGTATTAATTGCTTTTTTTTTTTTTTTCTGCCATATTTCTCATATCAGACATTTTTGACAGAAATCATAACATTCCTGAGTTACAAGCCCAAATGCAACCAAAAGCAAAAAACACTATAAAAACGATTCCATATAGAAAACAAAAAAAAAACAAAAAAAAAACAAAAAAACAAAGGCATTGCTTCTGTTCTTTCATCTTTACGCTGCGTTCAAGGTCTAGTCTGGACATCAGGAGAAATCCCAATCCCTTTCTGGACTCCTAGTCCCCCAGTTCCTCCGTTTTCCTTGTGTTGGCAAGCCTACAGCTCCCACTCCCCTCATTAGTCACTTCCCCTCATGCCGTGGTGACGCCGGCATCGTGCTGCCCCTGCCTCGCTCAGGCTGGCTGAGGGGAGGAGAGTGCCCCGGCCACACACCAATTCACAGCCACTGTCAGAAGCAAGGCCACTTCCAGAAAGCTGAGCAATCATCGGAATCAGTCGAGCTTTGAAACGCTGTGAACGTGGGAGATGTGGAGTAACGTTACAGTGGCTGAAAAGCCCGCGGGCGTCGGGAGCACACTCTTTTACACGAGTCTTTAGGGGAAACTGAGACGTTAAAGGACTGCACTGGTGGTTCTGAATTATTTAAACTCTTAAATTGCAAATATTATGCTTTAGAGTTTTAGATGGCCGACGGAAATGGGGGG